AGAAGGAGGAGGAGGAGGAGGAGGAGGTGTGGGAGGTGGGGAAGGAGTAGAAGGAGGAGTGGGAGGAGGCGAAGGTGGAGGTGGTGGAGGAGAAGGGGGTGCGGGAGGAGGAGGGGGTAGGGGAGGAGGTGGAGGAGGAGGAGGAGAAGGTGAGTTAAAGCTGTGTCTGCGAGTACTTCCAGGATTTCGATCCGCTGCGCAGCGCGTCGATATCGACGAATCACTTCAGGTGAGGAACGAGGAGGAGGTGGTGGAGGAGAAGGGGGAGAAGGAGGAGGAAGAGGAGGAGGTGGGAAAGGAGGAGGAGAAAGGGGTGGAGAGGGTGGGGGAGGAGGAGGTGGGAGAGGAGGAGGAGGAGGAGGAGGAGGAGGAGAAGGAGGTAGGAGGAGGAGGAGGTAGGAGGAGGAAGGAGGAGGAGGAGGTGGTGGAGGTAGGGGGAGAAGGAGGAGGAGGTAGGATGAGGAAGGAGGAGGAGGAAGGGGTGGAGAGGGTGGGGGAGGAGGAGGAGGAGGAAGAGAAGGAGGGAAAAGAGGAGTAGGAGGAGGAAGAGGAGGGGGAGGAGGAAGAGGAGAAGGTGAGTTAAAGTTGCGTCTGCGAGTACTTCCAGGATTTCGATCCGCTGCGCAGCGCGTCGATATCGACGAATCACTTCAGGTGAGGAACGAGGAGAAGGTGGTGGAGGAGAAGGGGGAGAAGGAGGAGGAAGAGGAGGAGGTGGGGAAGGAGGAGGAGGAGGTAGGAGGAGGAAGGAGGAGGAGGAGGTAGGAGGAGATGGTGGTGGTGGAGGAGGAGAAGGAAGAGGGTAAGGAGGAGGAGGTGGAGTAGGAGGAGGTGGTCGTGGTGGAGGAGGAGGAGAAGAAAGAGGGTAAGAAGAAGGAGGTGGAGTAGGAGGAGGTGGTGGTGGTGGTGGAGGAGGAGGTGGAGTAGGAGGAGGAAGAGAAGGAAGAGGGTAAAGAGGAAGAGGTGGAGTAGGAGGAGGAGAAGGAAGAGGGTAAGGAGGAGGAGGTGGAGTAGGAGGAGTAAGAAGCGAAAGTAATTGAGAGACAGATGAATATATAAGACAAGAAATAGAAGGAGGAGGTAGCGGAGGAGGAGCTCTCTCTCTCTCCTCGCTCCCGGGTCCGCGCACGGTCACTAAGTCTCTTCCTCTCTCCGTGACTGCAGGCGAGGACTGAGCGCGCTAGGACTGAGCGCCCTGGGCAAGCTGAACATGAACGATGCGGAGTTTGAGTGTCTGGCGAGGCACTACCGTGACCCGCGTCGCCCCAGCAACGTGCTGTGGACCAACTTCGTCTCCGACATCGAATGCGGTGCGTTGACGGTCCCTCGCTCCCACCATCCCTCATTCCAAGAATCCCTCACTTCCACAGCATCCTTCACTCGCCTTAATTCTTAGCATCCCTCACTCCCAGCATCACCCCGCTTCCAGCATACCTAACGTTTAGCATCCCTCACTGTCAGCACCTCTAACTCTCTCAGCATCCCTATCTTTTAGCATCTTTAACTCTCAGCATCCCTCATTCCCAGCATCCCTCTCTTTCAGCATCCCTATCTTTTAGCATCCTTAGCTTTTAGCATCTTTAACTCTCAGCATCACTCATTCCCAACATCCCTAACTCTCAGCATCCCTATCTTTTAGCATTCTTAAGCTTTTAGCATCTTTAACTCTCAGCATCCCTCTATTCCCAGCATCCCTCTCTCTCAGCATCTCTATCTTTTAGCATCCTAAGCTTTTAGCATCTTTAACTCTCAGCATCCCTCTCTTCCAGCATCCCTCATTCTCAGCATCCCTATCTTTTAGCATCTTTAACTCTCAGCATCCCTCTCTCCCAGCATCCCGCTCTCTCAGCATCCTTATCTTTTAGCATCCTAAACGTTTAGCATCTTTAACTCTCAGCATCCCTCATTCCCAGCATCCCTCTCTCTCAGCATCCTTAGCTTTTAGCATCCTTAACGTTTAGCATATTTAACTCTCATCATCCCTCTCTCTCAGCATCCCTCTCTCTCAGCATCCCTCTCTCTCAGCATCCCTCACCCTCCCTCCTCCCTCCACCCTCCTCCCTAACTGCCCTTCTCCCTTGTAGTATTCACCGAACAGCAGCAGGAGAAGACACCGTCGCTGCGCGCACCCCGACAGGAGGTCCATCAGACGCCAGCAGCAGCCGGGAAGGAAACCGAGGCGGCGGCCGGGGAGAAGGTCGAGAAGGAAGCCATGGAGGAGGAGGACTGGTGTGGAGGGGACGCGGGGACGCGCGCGTGCTACGACGCGGCCATGCGGCACATGCGTGAGAAGTCGCAGCAGCGACGCATCCTCACGAAGCCCTGCTTCCAGGACTTCGACAGGTAGGAGGGAGGGAGGGGTGGGGTGGTGATGTGCTGTCTGTATGTATGCGTGTCTGTTTCGGCTGTGTCTGTCTCTCTCTCTCTCTCTCTGTCTTTCTCTCTCTCTGTCTGACTTTTCTTTCTTTCTTTTCTCTCTCGTCTCTCGTCTCTCTCTCTCTCTCTCTCTCTCTCTCTCTCTACTCTCTCTCTCTCTCTCTNCTATCTAGCTCTCTCTCTTGGTGTGGTGCAGGCCTGCCTCGAGCTTCATTGTAAATTCTCCTGCATTGTTTTCATATTCACTGCCCACCCTCCCTTACGGTGCCCCTTCCATGTGCTCATCTCCCACCCTCCATCACGGTGCCCCTTCTCGCAGGCACAACAATGGTCACGTGACGCGTGCGCAGTTCCAGCAGTGCATGACGTACCTGATGCTTGCGGCGGGCGAGACGGAGATGGCCGCCATCGAGGCGAAGTTCAGTGACGACGTCGGGTTCAACTACGTCGCCTTCCTCAAGGTTAGAGAGTGCGCACTCGACCTTGACCTGTGTGAGGGTCAAGGTCAGGGTTAGGGTTACGGTTGGAATGAGGGTTAGGATTAGGATTAGGGATGGGGTTATGATTAGGTTTAGGGTCAGGGTTGGGCTGAGATAGGGTTAAGGTTAGGCTTACAGTTAGGGAGGGTTATGGTTAGGCTTAGACTTAGAGTTCTCTCTTTCTCTCTCTCTCTCNCTCTCTCTCTATCTCTCTCTCCTCTCTCTTTCTCCCTCTCTCTTTCTCTTTCTTGCTCTCTTTTTTCTTCTCTGGCTTTCAGTCTGTGTCTCTCTCCCTCCCTCTGTCTGTCTGTCTGTCTCTCTCTCTCTCTCTCTCTCTCTCTTCTTCTTTCTCTTCTCTCTCTTCTTCTTCTCTCTCTCTCTCTCTCTCTCTCTCTCTACTCTCTCTTCTTCTTCTCTCTCTCTCTCTCTCTCTCTCTCTCTCTCTTCTTCGTACTCTCTCTCTCTCTCTCTCTCTCTCTCTCTAAGGTTTAATTAAAGTTAGTCATTCGTTCTTCTTAGGGATAAATTCACATATGTTCGTCACTTTCACTCGCTCGTCACTTTCACTAATGACTATATTCATAATGACGGTCGCTCGCTAACGATCCACTCTCACTAATCAGTCAGACGAGTCTGCACGCTTTAATGCATTAATACGTATGAATTAATTCGCCGAAGATTAACGCGTGCAAGTATGCATATTAATTACGCATATTAATTAGTTTTACCAAGATAAACAGCCTCTATAGGGGAAGTCTGGTTCTGCAGGGATTCGTAAGCGTGGTCGAGTGTTTTTTTGTTCAACGGGGCTGCCAGGTAATATAGGTGTGAGGTGGTGGTTGTATCGGCGAGCTATCAGGTATGTACGTACCTGGGCCAGGTAACACAGATAAGCGCGTCCTGCACAGGTAAACACAAGTATTCGTACCTCGCGCGTGCAGGTACGAGTCAGCGAACCCGGACTATGTCGACTACCTGCGATATCACGTGCAGGTAAACACAGGTGTTCTTACCTGTACCTTCTACTGCGCAGGTACGAGTCAGCGAACCCGGACTACGTCGACTACCTGCGATAGCACGCGCAGGTAAACACAGGTGTTCTTACCTGTACCTTCCACCGCGCAGGTACGAGTCAGCGAACCCGGACTACGTCGACTACCTGCGATATCACGCGCAGGTAAACACAGGTGTTCTTACCTGTACCTTCCACCGCGCAGGTACGAGTCAGCAAAAGGGAACCGTTGAAATCTCTTACCTACCTTCTCCACAAAACTGCCTCCCTTCCTTCTCCACAACTTCTCTACCTTCCCCACAACCTCCTCCCTTTCCCACGACCTCCCTACCTTCTCCACGACCTCCTCCCTACCTTCCCCGTGACCTCCTCCCTACCTTCCCCACGACCTCCTCCCTACCCTCTCCCCACGACCTCCTCCCTACCTCCCCCTACCTTCCCCGCGACCTCCCTACCTTCTCCGCGAGTCGCTTCATGCACATGGTGAGCAGGGCCTCCTTGTCGCCGGACAGTTTGTTTCCGTCGGCGGCCACCGGGGGGCGAAACCTCTGCGGCTTCAGCTGCGGGTTCTTCTCGAGTCCCTTCGTCACGAAGATCGACTCGACGTCGTCCGAGAATCGCAGGTAGTCGACGTAGTCCGGGACTGTTCGCTTGTTTATAGGTGCGCAAGCGGCGCATGCAGCTGTTCCC